GGTAGGGGTAGAATGCCTGTACCAGCTGTAAGAATATTCGTCAACAATAAGTTTGGCTGTAACAAGCATGATATCTCTGATATTATGCGTGTACTGTTAAAATGTTAGCTTAACAAATCAGGTAATAGTGAGAATGCAAAGTGGTATCGGTCGCTCTCTTTGGGTCAATGTCTTTCCAAAATTCTTGAACACAGAAGAATCTCCCTTTCGCATGGGTCATTTATGGGATAAAACACACTAAAACGCTTACTAGGATTTTTTGTTCATTTTTTTGCAATATAGGCTATAAACAAGCTATAAACAATAATGGATAAGCGTCGGACCCATATGATTGGTTAATTGTATGGATTCGTGACACTTTGAACCATGAATTTTTCAGGAACCCCCGAGCTATCCGTTTTCCCTTGGTGAGGGGGTAAAGTTTACTATAGTTTATATAAGGAAATAACACTTTTGGGTATATTTTGACAACTTTCTGTAGGAAATTATTTTTGCTTGGTGAGAATTATCCTTGGAGGAAGATGGTTTCAAACTGTAAAATTGAGATTCCTACCCCAGCCCCTGGGGCCAGGGCGGGCCCCAAAGAGAAAATTAACCAATATTTCAAAAATCTTCTTCTCCAGACTCAGAGGTCCTATAGTGATTTTCTCTGCATGAAAAGAAAGATCACCAGGGGGTTTATTTAAATTGTCAATTTCAAAATTAAAGTTTACTGTAGTTTATATAGGGAAATAACACTTTTGGGTATATTTTATCCATTTTCAGCAGAAAATTACTCAAACTTAGTCAGAATCATCTTTGGTGAATAAGGGTATTACATTGTAAAATTGGAATTCCTGTCCCATCCCCAGGGGCTAGGGCGGGGCCCCAAAGGGAACATTTACCAATATTTTCAAATTCTTATCCTTTGATGACATGACAAGTATTGTATTTCACTTAGTGTACATGCTGATTTCCACATCCCATCTACACAATAAAATAAAGCTACCAGTACCTATGATATAACTCATGTGACCGCTAAGGCCCCTGAGCCTCTTGTTTCACTGTTCCCTTAATGAATCTGTCAGAAAAGAGAGGCCAAGAATAATTATATTGAAAATATGCAAAAATAAAAATATTTCTCCAAGTAGCTGGTGGAAAATTGCAAAAACTGTTTTAAATGCAAATAATAAAAGTAACTGTATTCCCCCTCTTAAATGTGATGAATGTTTCATTAAACATCCATTTGATAAAGCTGAATATCTTAATAAGTATTTTACCTCTATATCTACCACTTCTGAGAATCTTGAACCTATTCCTGATAATGAATTTAACTGTCTCCACGTACACTATGGAAAACATAACAATAACACATCAAGATGTCCATGACCAATTTTTTCTCCTAACTAGTAATAAACCAGCTGGACCGATGGCATGGTACCTACAATGATTAAACAACTTGAACGTTCTATTGCTCTACCTTTAACGTACAACTTTGGGCTAATAAATCCAAATAAAATAGAATCTGTTATATTCTCTAAAAAAAACTGAATACTCATCACCTTAATGTATATTTTTATGATGAACCTGTTACTGTCAGCCGAACACATAAACATCTTGGCTTGACATTCAGTGATGATGCTAAGTGGAATGACCACATTTATGATATTTACCAAAAAGGATACAAAAGAATTAATATTTTAAGGATGATAAAACATAAACTAGACAGACAGTCATTAACCACAATGTATACATCATATATTAGACCTTTACTAGAATATGCAGATGTTGTTTGGGATAATTGTTCACAAAATCTAAAATATCTCTTAGAGTCAGTCCAGCTAGAGGCTGCGATAATAATTACAGGACTGCGTAGAGGCACCACCACAATATCTTGTACAAAGAATAAGCCTGGGTTCCTCTTGAAAGTAGGAGAAAACAACATAAAATGATGCTGATGTACAAGATTATGAATAATAAAACTCCATATTATCTGAAAGAAATCACTGAGTCACATTTTCATGATCCCACACTAGCTAGATATCCCCTTAGATCAGTTAGAATATTTCATCCTCCTCTTTGTCGAACTGTTAACTATTCTAATAGCTTTTTTTCCATCCATGTTTAATGAAATAAATAATATCGCTTCAGACCTTCAAAATATTCGTTCCGCCTATCAGTTCAAAAAGTTAATAACACCTATTCCAAATTCAAACACAAGAACAACTGATGTCTTTAAGTTTTTAGGAAATAGGGAAACTAATATTATTCTCTGTCAGTTGAGAAATGAGGCCAGTAACCTAAATAATGACCGTCAGAAAGATTATCTTACTGAGTCCTCTGCATGTTCTTGTGGTTCTAGATTTGAAACAGCATCTCATTACTTCCATGATTGTATCAAATACACTGAATATCGTATTCTACTTTTTCAGAATATATTCCATGAAACTCACAACCATTTATCATTAGATGTCATGCTAAATGGTTCCGAGAGATGTGATGAAAATGAAAATAAACATATTCTCCTATCTATATTCAATTACATTTTAAGTTCTAGAAGTTTATTCAGGACATTTAACTTCAATTTTGAATGAAATTTTACATTTTATTTATTTACACTTTATTTATTTATTTACATTTTATTTTTTCTCAATGTAATTCTTCTGATTTCCAGAAATGGTACATGAATATTAATATTTCCTATTTGTCTTCATTGTTTATTTTTAAATACTGTTAGTGATGGGGGCTGGGGTTCAGAAGACCAGTTATACTATTTTATTAAAAAAAATATTGGGAAACAACTACATAAATAAGAATATAAAGCTTTACAACATGTTAATTATATATCTAACCTGTGTTTAATATGCATAAATTAAACTATTTGGTGGGATTGAATGTCCAAACTCATCAGTGGATGGCCTTGTGTGATATCATTACAATGGACTTTTTGGCCTGTATCTGTTGGGTGCAGTAATTCAATCCCATCAATGTTTATACATGCAGCTCCATCCACAAATTATTTTTCTTTTCTCTTCATAATATGTATATGTTGAACTCTCCATCTCTTGCTCTGTTTAAAAAATTACAAAATAAAGATAAAGTTAAGGACAGAGAAGTAACTTCAATTTTTTAAAACGACGGTGAAAGAATGGTAAATATTATTCTTTGCCAATTAAGAAATTCCTGTAGTAATTTATATTCTGATTTATATCGTGACCATTTAATAGATAGTCCAACTTGTGCTTGTTCTTTTGAATACGAAACAGCCTCTCATTATTTCTTCAATTGTCCACTGTATATCGAACAACGAAATACTTTGTTTACTTCTTTGAATAATATAAGTAATCATAACCATATGGATTTAAATAAAAAATTTTCAAGGTTGTCCTACATGTGATCTGAATATAAACAGACAGATGCTAATTCATATTCAGATTTTTATTGGAAAAACTAGGCGTTTTAATTTTTATATGACGTAGAAAGCCATGATGTATTCTCTAGATAGAATTGTTAATGGAATAACAAAGTGTAAACTTTTTGATGCATAATGATAAATGAGATTACAGTTAAGTAGGTTTGTTATATCTTGTTCATAATATTATATTGCCTTTATGTCACATTATTTAAATTTGTACTTTTTACTCGTAAACAGTATTAGTAGCAATGACCTGTGCACAGAAATACACATGGACTTTTGGTCAAAGTCTACTCTTACTGTACATATGATATACTGACTGTGGCCATTTAATAAGAAATAATTGTATGTGTTGGATGTATGATTGCGAGTTGTTTGTGTATTGTTATTGTGATGTCCTATGATGAGTTTATCCCCTTTGTGTTTGTCATGTTGGAGTTATCTCCCCTTATCTTTAATTAGTATTATTCTTTATAATTTTTCATTTCAAAGTATCCTTAAATTAATTAATCATTATTGTTGTAACTACATTGTATATATATGATCAAATTTTGAGCCACCCATGGAAAGAATTTATATAGGCTTGCCTGTTATTCAATCCATTTGACTATAACATCATATGTATTTTTAATATCAAAATAGAAGGTTAGAATTTAAAGCATTAGATTCAATTATAATAAAAATGAGTATTAGTAGTTGTTTCCCCGAATTTGATTATTAATTTGATAATACCAACTTGTTTATATGTGTTTGAATGTGTTCTAATGTCTATGTCTATGCTAAAGTAGGTTCCACTGTCTGTTACTATGTTTGGAAAGGGCTTAAATAGGCTATGCCTGCTGCCCAATCCATTTGTCCTTAAAGACAATAAAATTTATTGAAATTGAATCCGTCAGAAAAGAATATTTTAAAAAATGCATTCCTAATCACAGTGATGTTACCTTAGAAACCCATTATTTGACCTCAATATCATCTACAAACAACTGGCAGTTTATACTGGACTCTTGCTCTTGCTGACAGTATAAGGTATGGACTTTGCAGCTAAAAAAGTTTAAATCAAATTTTCTATTTGAAGCTATGTTAATGTATATTAGAAATATAAGCAATCACTTTGCGACTTTTCTACATGTACATGTCTATGTATGTATTTCACTGTGCTTTACTATTTTGCCTTCAAACTACTTTGTTAGTTACAAATTGCAAATAAATTTGAAATTGAATATAATATACATGTACGTCTCTTATCTGAGGGATAACTTTTACCATTTCAAACTACAAACTTAGTTTTGAAATTTGGCCACCATACACTTGTAAACACAAATTTGGAAAATATTCTTTGTATTATTGGACAGTCACAGGATGTCGGGCATTGTAAAAATATTGCTCTTTGTAACAATATACGTACGGCCTGTGTACATTTACACAGGGACTCTCTCCCTACAGTGTATTTTTCATACCCATAGGTGCAAGATGTGTATATATATTTATGCAGTAATCACACACTCTCACTATCCGCACACCGACAAAATATAGACGTACAAGTTTGTCCGCATCCGGCTCCAATTTTCCGTCGTTTTACGAATATCAATAAAACGCTTGATTGCTATGAACACTTACCCGTTTGATTGACATTGCAGAAAAAAAATTGGAGTACAAACACTGACAGAAGTGGACGGAGTGATGTAAGTCTCCCATCAATTAGTATATATATGAAATTTAAATCAACATTTTAGACGTTTTTTATTATTAAATGTTATTGAACAGTATACTGACAGCTGGCGAACTGATTAGATACTTGAACGAGCTGTTCACTTCAAGTTTAAGACCACTGATCATGACACTGCATTGACATTTCGTTTGACAGGTTGGGAATTTCCTAGGCTTTCCGAGATTGTTTCACATTTGCGAGATTCCTTTGTATGTTATTATTGAATACGCTTCTCTTCAAATGTACTTTCACTTTCGTATACAAAAAAGCGAAATTATTAAGGATTTCAGTCTTGTGGTTGAAAATCGCTCAGTAACAGTAAGTAGGCTAGTACAGTAGGCCTACTACAGCTGTACTAAGTACACCGAAAATTGAGTGAAAATACACAAGCTGGCAAAGACATAAAAAAACGAGTAATCAAGTTATTTAGAGATAAAGCGGCATTTTGTTTCTTTTTTTAAGACAATATAAGTCAAGAACTGGATAATATCACAAAAAATGAAATGAATAAACAAAAAGATCATGATATTTTTAATAGGGCTAATAATTACCAAAAAAATGCAACTGTATTTCTGATTTCCAGAATGGAACTGTTCCATACCACCAATAACCCATTCAAAAACATCAAATGTACACCTGCGATTTGTTCATTCGAAATTCTGTATTATAATATTGCAAAGTATGTTTGATCTAAAAACAACTTGCTGAGAAAATATATGCTGCCTTCTATATGAAGGTTTTTATTAAAGACAAGTTGACATGGGAGGGTCTATAGGTTTGCACTATGTCCATCCATCCTTCCGCCCTAGAAGTTTGTACGGGACATATGATCTATACTATTTCACCTGGAGTAACAAGATTTGGTGTACATCTTGGGATGACGGAGTGCAAGAACTAGGTCACTGTGTCCTAAGGACTTGACCTTTGACCTTCACTTTTGAAAATGTTTGTCCTTGGCATATCTTCTATACTATTTCACCTGGAGTCACATGATTGGTGTACATGTACAAGGACATCTTGGGATGGCGTAGTGCAAGAAGTAGGTCCTTATGTCCTCACTGTGACACCTATGTTTCCTGACATAAGTGTACTATTTGTTAAATATAGAAATCATTACCAGTGGGGGACTATGGATTGCCTTGCAATACTTTTCCCTGTCTTAAGTGACATGAATATAGTCCACACAATAAGTGTTGGTTTTTGTCAATAAACAATGCATTTGTATAATATCTGTCTTAGAATTTACACATCATAGACATTAGGTCAATGAGACGTAGATTTTTATAGACCTACTGAAATAGATAGATCAGACCTTTACCAAAAAAAATTACTTACACATTTAGTGGTTGATGACAAAAATATAGAAAAAATTATGTGTAACAATAAAGGAAAATAATGAGTAAACAGAGCATTGTTCATAGGAAATAACTTCATACCAGACAACTTGCTCTATAAAATATATGGTTCCTTTAGACCTACAGTCATTTTCATGGTGATTGTCTGTGGGTATACTGTTAAGTTTGAACACTATTATCATTAGAGGACCTGTTTCTGTACCCTGACCGTTAGTGCATCACCTGCCACAAAGGACTAGGGGAGTTAAGGGTCATTTCAGGCCTCATCTGAGAAATAGTTGCTATATTCCTAATCTGGAATAAATGAAGTACGCAAATATGAAATTTCAGATTATTTTGACAACTGGTTTAGGAGATATGGCATTACAAAAAAAAGACATAAACTTACATTTTCATTATAAAATGCGTGAATATCGTCTGTTGTGTGCTATTTGGTTGAAAATTTGGCAATATTGAAGCAAATTAACTAAACACTTGATCTTCACGTTTTGAAAGCCTAACCAAACAGATAAATAAACATCGTCATACCAGTGTTCATTCGCTGCATCACAAAAAGGAATGTTTGTTTATCACATTCGGAGGCTTTCATTTCTGCATGCTTACTTTCCAAAAGCATCATATTTTGGCTATTTCTGCCATAGCAATGCAATTTTGTGGCTATGATAGGGCATCTACGCATGCTCATTAAAAAAATCTGCACCAAGAAAGATAGCCCCAATTTACCAATATGATGTTTATAACAGAAATTGGGAAATACATTCAAGTTGAATTTTTAACTTTTTATGAGGCCAAAAATGACCCATATAATGCCCCAAGTCCTTTGCTGATGACAAATTATTTTTGAGTAAATAAACACTTAAAGTTTAATTACTTACATATATGCATCTAGCTGCAGCTGGTAATTATCAGAAAATGGTGAAATAATATATAATACAGTATGATAAAGAAAAGTTTACCTCCTCATCAAGGGGAATAGTGACTAATGGGTAAAGAAATTCACAATTTTGATAAAGACACCTTGGGACCTTCCCATACATGAAGAGAAATAATAATAGCATATATCTGAGTGTGTATAGATAATATTGTTAAGTTAATTTGTTCCCTTTGGGCTCAGGCTCTAGCTATATATATAGGGATAAGTCTGGGTCTTCATTTTATGCAGCAAGTCTACCTGCTATAAACATCTATATAAGCTGCCTATTTTACATTTTAAGTTTTTACACCAATTTTGAATAAGCAGTTTTTAAAGTCGGGCCATCTCACATCTACACTATATAACACACGTACCAATCTAATCTGCTACAGAAGTTCCTGTAGACTACCTTTTCAGGCCTGTCGATAAAATAAAAGCATACGATGGTGGTAAATAATGACAAATTGTGCATGTGTAGTTATAGGTGTATTGAGACATGTAGTAGTGACTCGGTGATGTATTTTACTACCGGCCAATAATGTCAGTCAGGCTATATAACCTACTGTGTGGTCATGACACTGTTCACAGTCATGCAAGTACCATGTGGACACTGCTGAACGCGTATCATATGATCAAGGTACAATTTATTACTTTATTGTCTTAGCATGCACTGGTATAATAACCCAGTGTTTCACATATTTAGATGCAAATGTAGTGCCCTTCTAATGAATTCAGAATCAGTTAACATGTACAGAGTGTTGCATTAAATTCAAACAATTATATGAAAGTTATGTAGTTATATATAACAAAAACTGACAAAAATAGGAGATCACATAAAAATGAGGCTTCCTTACATGAGGCCACTGTTGACATATATAAAGTGATCATGACCTTTACTTGATTTTCAGAAGATAACAAAATTCACTGATTGATAAGAATGATATAAATAGTAGTTTAGATATCTCAACACCTGGGGTATTATATAGGATGAGTGTATGATAAATTGAGCAAACATGTAAAAATCTGCTACCGTTATAACAGTAAACTACTGTGAGTGTATATATTTTTTAAAACTTTTATCAATGCTTACATATAGACTAAACATAACATTCACGCATGTACATGTGTTGATCATGGATCAATGTAAGTATAATCTTACTAATAGGATTAAATGACGTGTAGACATAAATATTCTGTGTATAGGAATAACATTTAGTACTAGATTTGTTTTCATATTTGGTATGAAAATTCTACCACTATCAATTTTACAAATGTATGTAAGAATATATTTAAAAAATCAGTAGATCTATATAAATGTTTGTCTTAAGATTTAATTGCAAAATAATCTCACTTTGTGTGTACAGGTAAAATTTGACTATATTCAAAGATATATCAATCAATCAACTGTCTTTTTCAGGATATTGATATGGGGGATATTGTCACCAATGTAATGCTGACTCTGTTCTCTTAGGTTGTGACAGGACCTTCTCCACATGGCTTCCTCCAGGAAAATGGCGTCACAACGTGACTTCAACAGGTGAGTTAAGCAAATATTTTAGCTCTGGTAAAAGAATCAGGACCTATGTTCTGGACATGACAATATGTACTATGCCATTTTTTTTTTATAATTATTTCAATACATCTTGGGAACAGGATAAATTCCTCTTTTAACATTCTGATGACCGTATGTATATTTTAACATCAATGTCCTACTTTTATAACAAATATTGAAATCACATTGTCCACGGTATAACTGAAAGGCAGTCTTATTATGATGGGATATTGTAATGTATAGTAAACGTTCCTATTGTCTCCGGTCAACAGCCCATGTGTGGAGTCGTACTTTTGACCATGTGTATTCAGTGTTAATAAATTTATCCTTTTAGACCAGAAACACACAGCACTGAATAGGTTTTGGTGAATTGTACAAATTCACACATGCAATATGTTACTCTTGTGGGCCTCTTGTTTTATTCGTTGTGTTTCAGTTTGTTTCAAGAATGAATCAGATTAGTTCTAAGTATGATACTTTGTTCGATTTGAACATGTATGCCATCATTGAAACCTTTTAATTTTAATCTCAGAAGAATTTACAATCCAGTCCTAAAAATGATTTAGTATCCAGTCCTTAAAGTCACTAGTGACATTTTATTTCTCCATCCAAGTTACACTCATTTCATCAGTACACATCACTCTGGTCTATACTGTTTGGTGTTCTGGTTTGTCAGTACACATCACCCTGGTCTACTGTTTGGTGCTCTGGTTTGTCAATACACATCACTCTGGTCTACTGATTGGTGTTCTGGTTTGTCAGTACACATCGCTCTGGTCTATTCTGTTTGGTGCTCTGGTTTGTCAGTACACCTCACTCTGGTCTATACTGTTTGTTGCTCTGGTTTGTCAGTACACATCAATCTGGTCTACTGTTTGGGTCTCTGGGATGTCAGTACACATCACTCTGGTCTACTGTTTGGTGCGCTGGTTCGTCAGTACACATCTCTCTGGTCTACTGTTTGGTGCGCTGGTTCGTCAGTACACATCTCTCTGGTCTACTGTTTGGGGTTCTGGTTTGTCAGTACACATCACTCGGGTCTATACTGGTTGGTGCTCTGGTTTGTCAGTACACCTCACTCTGGTCTATACTGTTTGGTGTTCTGGTTTGTCAGTACACATCGCTCTGGTCTACTGTTTGGTGCGCTGGTTCGTCAGTACACATCACCTACTGTTTGGTGTTCTGGTTTGTCAGTACACATCGCTCTGGTCTATTCTGTTTGGTGCTCTGGTTTGTCAGTCCACATCACTCTGGTCTATACTGTTTGGTTCTCTGGTTTGTCAGTACACATCTCTCTGTTCTATACTGTTTGGTGCTCTGGTTTGTAAGTACACATCACTCTGGTCTATACTCTAGTGACATTTTATTTCTCCATCCAAGTTACACTCATTTCATCAGTACACATCTCTCTGGTCTATACTGTTTGGTGCTCTGGTTTGTAAGTACACATCACTCTGGTCTACTGTTTGGTGCGCTGGTTTGTCAGTACACATCACTCTTGTCTATACTGTTTGGTGCTCTGGTTTGTCAGGACACATCACTCTGGTCTACTGTTTGGGTCTCTGGGATGTCAGTACACATCACTCTGGTCTATTCTGTTTGGGTCTCTGGTTTGTCAGTACACATCTCTCTGTTCTATACTGTTTGGTGCTCTGGTTTGTAAGTACACATCACTCTGGTCTACTGTTTAGTTGATACTTTGTTCGATTTGAACATGTATGCCATCATTGAAACCTTTTAATTTTAATCTAAGAAGAATTTACAATCCAGTCCTAAAAATGATTTAGTATCCAGTCCTTAAAGTCACTAGTGACATTTTATTTCTCCATCCAAGTTACACTCATTTCATCAGTACACATCTCTCTGGTCTATACTGTTTGGTGTTCTGGTTTGCCAGTACACATCACTCTGGTCTATACTCTAGTGACATTTTATTTCTCCATCCAAGTTACACTCATTTCATCAGTACACATCTCTCTGGTCTATACTGTTTGGTGTTCTGGTTTGTCGGTACACATCACTCTGGTCTATACTGTTTGGGTCTCTGGTTTGTCAATACACATCACTCTGGTCTACTGATTGGTGTTCTGGTTTGTCAGTACACATCATTCTGGTCTACTGTTTGGGGATCTGGTTTGTCAGTACACATCACTCGGGTCTATACTGGTTGGTGCTCTGGTGTGTCAGTACACATCACTCTGGTCTATGCTGTTTGGTGCTCTGGTTTGTCAGTCCACATCACTCTGGTCTATACTGTTTGCCGCTCTGGTTTGTCAGTACACATCAATCTGGTCTACTGTTTGGGTCTCTGGTTTGTCAATACACATCACTCTGGTCTACTGATTGGTGTTCTGGTTTGTCAGTACACATCGCTCTGGTCTATTCTGTTTGGTGCTCTGGTTTGTCAGTCCACATCACTCTGGTCTATACTGTTTGGGTCTCGGGGTTGTCAGTACACATCACTCTGGTCTACTGTTTGGTGCGCTGGTTCGTCAGTACACATCACTCTGGTCTACTGTTTGGGGTTCTGGTTTGTCAGTACACATCACTCTGGTCTACTGTTTGGTGTTCTGGTTTGTCAGTACACATCACTCTGGTCTATTCTGTTTGGTGCTCTGGTTTGTCAGTACACATCATTCTGGTCTACTGTTTGGTGTTCTGGTTTGTCAGTACACCTCACTCTGGTCTACTGTTTGGGTCTCTGGTTTGTAAGTACACATCACTCTGGTCTATACTGTTTGGTGCTCTGGTTTGTCAATACACATCACTCTGGTCTACTGTTTGGTGCTCTGCTTTGTTTTTGTCATGGTGATTTTTGATGCTGCAGGTTGATGAACGGTCGGGCAAAAAAGGGAGAAGCTTATGTCCCTACTGATGTGGAGCATGTGGCCAATATTATAACACATGGGGTAAGTTTTATTTATTAGGCTGTGTAAAAGTCTGTGTAGTGCCTTACCAAAATATACTATTTGGTTTGTTAAAAACTTTGCACTTACTACTTGCATACAGTGCTAGATATATATAAGCACATACTTTCATTAATAGCAAGAAATACTCATGACAGAGCAATAACTAAAAACATGCAAGTCCTCAACAAATGGTATTGGTGTTTCATCCACCCCTTCAGTCAGTAATATTGTTCCGTTTCTGACTCCGTTTTTTGGAGTGAGTCCCCTAAAAAATATTTGTATCTGCCACAATGCAGTATGGTTACCCAGATTTCCACCTACAAGTTTGGTGTCACATATGCTGTACTGAGATTTATGATAATATTGCTACTGAATCATCTGAACCATACTTGGTCAACGTCCAACCTGTATTGTTAATTGTGACATGTATTATGACCTCACCATAGGATGGCTAGCAGATAATGGACATTGCTAGAGTAGACTATTTGTTGAGATTTTTTTTTATATTTTTCATTACATTGTACATGAACAAATGAAGATTAAGGGTTTTGGATATTGCATGTTATAGTTGAGACTATTGTTACATGTACTATGCAGTATGGGCATACTGTGTACCAGGAAATATTCAAATTAAATCATGACAGCAAATATTAGTCACAACATATATAACACATTATTTCCACTATGAAGAGCAAATCAATGGATTTATAAGTGAAGAGCAAATATTTAAATAAATAGAAAATTCCTGGTACACAGGATGTGTCACGAGAAGTTGCACTTATCATTTTGAAGGATTAGGTGACCATGGAGAATCTTTTCATATAATGATGAACACAATATTCAGTTTACAGATAATTTTTGTATTCCTGCCAAAAGTTGAGCATGGGGTATTAAACCTTTAGAGATTTGGTGTGTATGATGAGAATCATATTTGCATATAAAAATATGGGAATGCCATGTTAAACTTTCCAATAAATGTGACCCTTATATTTGAACCTTATAAGACAACTTGGAATAGGTATGGGCCAAGAGAGACCAATGCTTGTAAACCATCTTTTTTTGTGTGAGGGTATTAGTTTTAGGGTTTTAGTGTGAGGGTTTTACTGTAAGGTTTTTGTGTGAGGGTGTTAGTGGAAGGATTTTAGTTTTAGGGTGTTCGGGTGCTATTGTAAGGATGTTAGTTTTAGGGTGTTAGTGTGAGGTTGTTAGTTTGAGGGTGTTAGTGTGAGGGTTTTACTGTAAGGTTTTTGTGTGAGGGTGTTAGTGGAAGGATGTTAGTGTGAGGGTTTTAGTGTGAGGGTGTTAGTGTGAGGGTTTTACTGTAAGGTTTTTGTGTGAGTGTGTTAGTGGAAGGATGTTAGTGTTAGGGTGTTAGTGTGAGGATGTTAGTGTGAGGGTGTTTGTGTGAGGTTGTATGTTTGAGGGTGTAAGTGTGAGGTTGTATGTTTGAGGGTGTTAGTGTGAGGTTGTATGTGTTAGTGTTAGGGTGTTAGTGTGAGGATGTTAGTGTGAGGGTGTTAGTGTGAGGTTGTATGTGTGAGGGTGCTTGTGTGAGGATGTTAGTGTGAGATTGTATGTGTGAGGGTGTTTGTGTGAGGTTTTATGTATGAGGGTGTTTGTGTGAGGTTTTATGTATGAGGGTGTTAGTGTGAGGATGTTCATATAAAGGGTATTTGTATGTTGGCATTGGTGTTAGTGTGAGGTTGTATGTGTGAGGGTGTTTGTCTTATAAAGGGTGTTTGTATGTGGGTTTTGGGGTGAGAGTGCTGAAGTTGTGTAGGTGTTCTTCTCATTGTTGGTCCATATGTAATACAACTTTTATTTCATTTCAAGTGCCAGACCACTTGCATACTTTACCCCACAGAATCAGTAATACCAAGCTCAGGCCATATTATACTCCACTCTAGGCAGATTGAGTTGAGCAATAAATGTGAAATTTCACAATCTCACAACCTCTCTGTTATAGGCCTGGTGTAGGCTGGTACACATCCTATTGTGCTTTACCACCTGGCTGTTTATTTGTGTTTATTTTGTTACAATAGGCACGTTTAGGTTTGATTTTATTGGTGTTACAGTTTTGGGTGATCCCTAGTGCTCTAGCCACCTTATGGATGGTTTACCGGTCCAACACTTACCTCCAGTACAAAATGGCACTTGTCTATGGCTTGGCTCTCACAGCACTCTTCTTTGTTTCCTCCATGTTTCACTGTCTGTCCTTCATTGGAAGATACAGGTAGGTTACATATTGGTTTGGTTATATGAGGAAACAATTTCTCATAGTTACACAATCTTTACATGTCTTGGTACATTAATTAAAACTGAAGAAGTTGTTTTGGGAAAGTCACTTTTTTATGTAACAAAAGCAAAGTTTTGAGTCTCTAAAAAAGAATTCTGTTAAAGTAATTAATGAAAAAATATGGCAAAAAAATGTATGTATTTTCCCAATTATGTACAGTATATGTAAGATATCTCCTATAATTTATTCATTATTATTATTTTGATTGAAAACGTTTGGATATACATTTATGTCTTTGTCTGTTATTTCATTATTATTCTTTTATTTTAGGAAATTAAGACATTTTTTTCACATTGGTGATCGTGCAGTTATCTATGTCTTCATAGCCTCATCCTATACACCATGGTAAGTCTTCACAAATTCAATCCAAGACCATAAAGAATTTTTGATATCTTAAGAAAAGGTTGAGTCACATAATCATTACTGAGCTAACACAGGGCCACTACTCATTATACATGTGATCCAGTTTGAGTATTTTAAACCCATATTGAAATCTTAGCCATGAAATAAATAGAATTCTTGTTCATTTACTGTGTAGTTACTAATTGTCTGTTATATGTGTAAGGTTGGTACTGAAGGACTTGGGAGGTCTTGGTGATGAGACTTTGGTGATTGTATGGACAATGGCACTATCGGGAATCCTCTACCAGTATGTGTTCCATGAACAGTAAGTAATCTGACTCCCTGTCACGTAAACATCAACACTTGTTACCTATAACTTAGTAGGTCATTGGATACTGGAAATAATGAAAGTTGGTTACGCTGTGGACACGTAATCTAGACAAGTGTGATGGGTCCAGGAATGTATACGGATAGACAGGGATGTGCATCTGGATCTTTCGAAACATGATTAATATAACACTCTTATATATATGATTAACTATGTGTGCAAAGATCCTTTTATTCTTACTTACATTTTTAAAATATGATGGACATTTTTTGTGGTATTAAAAAACAAAATAATTTTCATCAACTATCTTGACATTGTACAGAAGCTTTGCACATTAAATTGTAACAGGACAATGGCGATAACATGGTACTTCAGACATCCCAAGTAAAATGGTCTATACATTACAAATAGGATGGAGGCTTTACCAATGTGCTTTATATTTCTGCCATAAAACTTTCCGAAATGGAAGATATTTCGGGAAAAAATGTGCACATGTGGCTTTCAAGACATAGTTGCTAAATGGATAAAGTTTTATACTTACATTAGAATGAGCTTTCATTTGGACTATTTGAATGGATAGTTCATTACAGTGATGCTCATTATAAACGATTATGATCAGGCACACCTTCCTGGTTGATCTCCCTTGTCCATATTTACAACTGACGGTGCCTTCATTTACTGCTGCTGCTACACTCTTCAGTTTCTATAGACCAATGTGGTGTAACATCAGCACTCTAGTGATCACATGTAGTCCTTGTAGTCAAAACACATCACTACTCATATTATTGTATATAGAACATATCGTCCACCCGCCACTTCCTACTGGAAATGTCAGATTCTAATTCATTTAATGCTTTTGCCACACAATGATGCCAGTGGCTTTTCTTCCATAATTTTACAATGGCATGTTCCTACATGAAATGGGAAAATATAGCAATGTTTTTTTTATTAAAATTGGTAAGATATTCCTCATTTTCTCTTCATTTTGGGAAAATAAAGCACTTTTTCGCTAGGGGAAGCAGGTATTCAGCTGGATAACTGAGGGAACGAAAACAGAACAATATAGTACTGGATTCCAATAGAGGATCAATATAAAACTCCATTTTTATTGCAGTTCTATTTATCAGATTATATTTGTACCAATGTATGTTTTTTGTGTTACAGGTATAAGTGGCTGGAGATCGTGTTTTACCTCACCATAGGAGTGTGTCCAGCTCTCGTCACCCTTACTATGGTAAACTTGAACTTTAGCCAATCTCTAGGTCAGAACTTTCTAAAATGGTTTCAACATTGGATAAATGATCTGTATAATAACCAGGGAGCCCATGTATATGGTACATACCGATGTTGATGACACAATTGGAAGTAAAATGTCAAATAAATCTTAATGGATAATTTCAATGCAAAGTATAGAAAGGAGTATACCTCACTGCCTGTTTTTATGCCCAGCATAAAAATGCTGGATGCCTATAATGTTTCACATGTCTTTCTCGTATGAATGGTTATAATTGCCTCGGTACAACAGAGTTCAGATGATCAGATGAATTTTCAGATGTGTACTTCATTTGAAGTAGATGAGAACAATCCATAGAAGGATTTGATTACAGTGGAATACATTGTGAGGGTGGTAATATATATGATGATATTTGTATGCAGGACTTTAGTTCCGGTCATTGTGTTTACCAGATTGGATCTGCCATCGGACATATTGAGGCACTCTAAAACAATGTGCATTTAATATATAGAAACAAACATATTTCTACAACTTTCCTATGATGCAAATTTCTGTCTTTGTTTACACACAAGGAGGTATAAGAACACCATCGGTTTGGTTTTATCAGAAGGCAATCCAAAGGGATAAACCTATGAAATTGTTGTTGCATCACAGATGTGGTAGGATTCCGAATAAAACTGAGTTCTTGAGCAAAGTATGCTATGAGATATGTAGAGTGTTTATAATAGCACCTTAAATACATGTACATGCATTTGTATGAATGGTAATGCCAGATTAGCAATGTTGGTAGTGTATGTATATAGGGAACACTTTTTTGCCTGTGTTTCTGTGAGAGAAATTTGTGATTATTTCAGAGAGAGACTGCAGGCTTGTATGAGCTGGCTTTGGGAGGCATGACGTACATAGCTGGTGTAGTGTTCTTTAAATGTGACGGGATCATCCCGTTTGCCCATGCCATCTGGCACTGCTTTGTGTTGGTGGGGGCTATGCTTCACTACTATGCCATCTCCGCCTACCTGCTTGGCCGTGAAAAGGATGAGGTCATATGGGGCAGCTAACATGGTCTAAGGCCGTGGCAAAAATAAAGGTCTGCAGAAGAAAGGTAAAAATGAAATACAGCACCAAGATGAGGACTTAACAATCTCATGGGAAACACAGCTATATATATATATATATATATATATATCAGGTTGGTCAGTGACTTTAGGTTGTTTTGAAAGCAAAATATGTGGCAAATAGAATGACATTTGTTAATGGTAATAAAAAAAAATTAAAAACCTTGATCTAGAGGCCTCCAATTTACCAGTATAATATGACAATACATACATCTTTTGAAATTCTAAGATATAGTATTTCAGTTTGTTTCTGATAAAGCATCACAATGTGTATATTATATTGTTAGTCAATGGTGATTTGTTTGTACAGATGTACTTTGTATTGGTATGAAGTTATGAATATTGGTATTTTGCATTAGTATTCTTGTGACATAACCAAATGTGATATATATATTTGTAATGATTTTCTTGAAAATGAAAGTGATATGAGTTTGCTATACATTTTACAGAGACTGTTAATTTTATCCTGACATTTGTGACATTATTTTACTAACAGGTGCCATTTTCAGCTCACCTGGCCTAAAGAGGAATGTGAGTTTTTTGTCATGGTGCGGCACATGTCATCCGTCTATCCATTTCTTTAAAAGCATACTCCTCCAGAACAGTTGATCAATTTTAACCAAATATTTGGTCTGAAGCAAATAGGGCTAAGTGGTCTCAATTTTGTATATGCAAAGGGTGTACCCCAACCTCAACCCCCCTCCAGGGACAGAGGGCCAGGACACAATATGGGAAATATATGCAACTCCTGTACAGGTGAAGAAATTTTGACCAAATTTGTTCTGGTGCATCACTGGGCTAAGGAACTTACTTTTTGTACACACAAAAGAAGTGATCACTACAGGCCTCTGTCAGAACCCAGATGTGGAAATATTGATCAATCTTTAAAAACCTATTCTGTCAATACAAATGAAGATAGTTTTACCAAATTTTGTCTGAACCATCTTTTGGTCATAGGGACTTAATATTGCATAAAGGAAGAGTGTCCTCCTTTCAGTAGAGGAGTCTTGCCCAATAGGAGAAATAGGGATCAATATGTGATGGGCTACTCCTTCAGTTGGAGTGAAAGGATTTGAACCAAATTTGGTACAGAGCATCATTCGGTCAAAATGTCTCAATTTTGCATAAAGGAGGGTGTACGGCCCAGTAAGGGAAGTAGAAGTAATCTTTTACACACATTATGTTTTAGTATTGAAGGGGTTTTACCAAAATTTATTCAAAAGTATTACTGGGCCCAAATTAGCTGATGGCTCAGATTTTGACTTATTCCCAATTCAGTCAGATCAAACTAAATGTCCTCCAAATGTGCCCATCATTGCCTGTACCAATGGTTGTTATTTGAATTAAATTAACAAACGAATCAGGTGAACGATACAGGTGCTATGGGCTTCTTGTTTAGCCATACTGTAAAACTGAAATTCATTGTCATTTTGGAATTTAAGAATTTCCATTTGAGTTAAACTGATGAGAATTTATTCTTCTATTTATATGGTAAACATATTTTTATAAATTTTAAGGAGTGCTCTAGTATAAATTAAAGTAAATAAGTTTCCTTTCACCAAATAAACTTGCTGGAAATAAGATTTGGGCACTTTAATACCCTAAATTGGAACCTCGATGTTTTATAATATCATACATTTTCTATATCATTAAAACATGTGCATTTAAGGTATATATAAAGATAGTGATTTACAATCACAGGAGTAAGTCCTTGTTAGTTATAACCATACACACCAGCAAAGAGGGATTACTACTGTAATGTCAGCATTATATATCAAAAGGTTAAAAAAACAAGCATAGAAATCACAGTATTGTATTTTACTTATAAACTTACTGGTAGGTTGAAAGAAGATAGTTAATGCTGTTATTATTAAAATGTTGGTCAACTGCATTTGGTTGCTGGTAGACTGTTGGTATATAGAAGCACCTTGTGACAGATATTTGGCTCTTCTATTTAAAACAATTCATAAGCTCATGAATCATTTCATTTCACATTGTTTCACTCTTCATTGAAGTTAGCGCATGGTGAACGTCGACACACACACAGAGGGTTGAGTTTGTTGTATTTATCGTAGAGTGTGTGTGTGTGGTTCGGATCTCTTGGTCTTCCACCATATACAGGAGATATACAACTGACAGCAAATATACCATGTTTATACAAGTTTTATATAGATTTTTATTATGACATTTTATTGACATACAATTAGATTTGTAATGCAGATTTATAACTTAGATAACCCACCAACTTGTAAGACCTCTTTATTTTGATACTCTTGAGTATTTTGTAATTAAACATTTGACAATAAAGTATACCTATAGTTTATATACAGAGCTTGCTAATCCATTTTGGAGTAGTTTGAAATAAGACAGTGACTGTCTATTTTTTCTAACATGTATTGTATATCATTTATCTTATATTACTGTCTCACCTCCTTGTAAAAAATATTGTGAAAATGTGTCATATTTAAATATAAAAAGAAGCTTTTTCATACATAATTTCTAGTGCTTCCAATTATCCAGATTGTATTTTGAAGAGTAACTTCCTAACATTTTGGCAGCTTTTAAATGACAAGCTACACAAGCTATAGAATTAAAAGTTGAGTGTAACACTCCACATTTGATAAAGGTACATTTCTTTTCCGGTTGGATTATACATAGCTTTTGGGAAAACAATCTTCTAAACAGGTATTATCGCACAAAATCAATTATAGATTGTTTCTTAACTGTTGGAGCACAAATTTATTTGATTAAATGTACAATCCCATTAAGTAAATTTTAAATTTGATGCATAATAATGTTAAAGCAAAGTTAACTTATTATTTATGATACCAGTATCCATCCTGCGATGACACTGTAATTCATTAACCCCTGAAATTTCATAGTGAACTATTCTAACCTTCGATTTGGAAGAGTTCAAATGTGTCTTCAGGGGTGAATGAGTTAATACTGTTACTATATGTCAAGCATTGTTTAATCTTTTTATGTTTAACTTATTCTTTTGTAGAATATTTTTTAAATCCTGTATTTGGATCTTATATACAAATGTATTTGGTAACAAATTGGTAAGTCATGTTTGGTTTACATTTGTTACTATGGCCTATACTATTATATTATGTCTTGTTTATCTGGTGTTCATATATCAGAAATCAGTAGCTAATATCAGCATCAGTTCCACAATGTTTTTTATACCAGGTAAGGTGAAGGGCACCAACAGGTTAAAACAAAGACTCAAACTCTCGTTTGTCTCAATAACTTATTACCATTGTCACTGTTGAAAATTGTTTTAAGTCATTTTCAAAAGAACTGTTTTATAAAAACTATGTTGGGATAAGTTTTAAAGAATAATACTACACCGCTCTTTTAAATTTAAATCCTTGAAAATAGAAATGAAAGATGAAAACAGAAAAACTGCATGGGTTGAAATCGATATATTTCCATTGCAAAGCCTACACTTTAACGATGTTGCCATGCAGGAATGACAATATTACAAACCAAATTTCCTATATATAGGCTACAAATCCTATGAAAAACTTGAAGGGAAGTAAAATACATTTTTGATGTTTCATCTTCGATATACGATATACATGTACACACTAAAGTCTTAAAAATCCATAGTTGAAATCTTCTCTGTGTTTATAACTGATTTAGTGGTACCCTTGACCTTAAACTGATGGTCAGAGTGTGACGTCTACATCAAGGCATTGATTATAGCTCCTAATAGAGTCCTCACAAACACTAGTCTTCACATCCCCTGATATATCTATATTTATCTACATTGTTCCATGGTTTTACTTAATATAACACCGTGTTTTTCATCTTGTTACCTCCCTAAGGTATTGTAGTGGAATAGTGTATTTGTTGTTACTAGTGCTATCAGATGTTTATTGTTATATATTTATATATATATATAGATGGAAATATAGTCTTCTAGTTTTGTTAGATGGTAAGGACATATTTTAAAATTTGTTAAATGTTAGCATTATCTATATGGTAATGTCTAGAGTGATTAGATTAGAAATTATTACAGCTATTGTTGACAAAAATGATCACTTTATTCCACATTTCTCTAGACTACATGACATTGTGTTTGAAAGGTAGATATCAAAATGTATCAATGAAATATCAAAAAAGATTTCAGCTCACCTGGACAAAAGAATGCACTATTGTCATACCGCCACTTCCATCATCCATCATTCATCTTCTGCCCAATAACATTTTGTTTAAACAACTTCTTGACAAAACATTGGGCTTTAATGTTCGGCTAGGGTGAAGGAGTGTCATATTGCTGCGATAAATTACCTTGGCCCAAAGTCAATGTCACAAGAATTATATGCGTCAAACTCTTAAAACAACTTAACAAACTATTAAGTATAGAATTAGGATAAAACATGGCCTGTCACTTGTTTCAATGAAGGCAGTAATCAATCTACAATTTGTTTGTTCGGGTCCTTTTCAACTGTATTGCTAAAACAACGGTTTACATAATATTAAATTAAAGTATGTCCAGAAATTCTTCCAATTTCATCTAAGTTATACAAGGAAAGGACTCAGTATTCGTATGTAGATTTATAACTGATTAAGGACTAACAAGGCTCCTAAAAAATTAAAAACTTATCCCTTCTATTCCTTTTCAATCTCATAGGGGTTGATTGAGTTGAAATATTCCAATACATTTTCTATCAACTGCACTTCAAGATGAACACTTATTGCTGAATGGGCCTCAGGCTAATAATCAAATCATGATTATATTTATGATTATATTTATTTAATTGCCATTTTACATTCCCCACTGTAGTCTTATTAGAAATGAAATCCCAGTATTGTGTATAATAGTGCAGACTATGTCTGTCTCTCCATTTTATAGTGCACTATCAGTGGGTTATTTTTAAATGTATTTATTTTCCATGTCTGAGATAAAGTGACTACTGTGATGACTGCCTTCCTGTAAGTGCTGAATTAGTACGTCTCTAGTGTGATGTAGACCTGTAGAAATTATCTCCCCTTTCTGATGGTCGTTATAGCAACATTTCTTATGAAACGGCTATATTACAATTGCTCAAAAACTTTAATCATGCCCCAATGGCTGTACATTCAGTTTATTATGAAATATGGACAATGACATGTATATACCTAGTCTCAGGTTATCTTGCAGGTTAATATTTCTTTCCTTTAACTTTGTTTAATATTGTCTTTCCTTTAGATATATTTCGTGGTTTTTTTTTGTATTTTCGGTGATTTCTGTAGCATTGTAGGATATTTGGTTATTTTTGTATAATTGGTTCCTATGAGTCACCAAAATTACCAATCAGTAAACAATCTATCTAATGTTTTTCTTTACAAACTGCCTGGCAGATTTGATGAAACTTGGGCACGCTGGCGTAATAATTAGCCTGTAAAATTTTAAACAACACTTCTGATACGATTTGGTGAATTTACTCGTAGAAAGGGGCTCTCAGAGGAGTGAGGGGCGGGCCCATACGATGGCAGAGTGCAAAATATTAAGATGATGCTTCTATGAAAGTGGATTTTTACTGTCATACCATAAATGATGAAGATGATTTTTTTCTTCAAGAATGCGCTCACACCAAGGGGTTGTAGGGGCGGAGCCATAAGATATCAAAGAGTGGGAACACATTTGAATTAGATACATCTTTATTCAAGAAGGGTCTGATATTCAACATGGGTGTTAGGTGTTGGGCTATATTATAAGTGGTAACTGGCGTAAAATCTGTATTCATTTAAAGTTAGATCCACTTAATATGATGTGTATAATTCATAATTTCACTCGGGTGACAATTAAGGCCTTTCGGTCTCTTGTTTTAGTTTCATTCTGACAACGGATAGTTAAACGTTTTATTTTATTTTCTTACATGTAATGACTTTGTCAGTCCAATAAGGTTGCAGTTTAGATTTGGTAATGAATTAGAAATTTTATAGTGGTGATTTCTGTCATATCTCTTACAACACATGTACATTTTATTATTGTCTGGCCATGACAACATGTAATGTTTGCCCCAGAAATTGTCTGTATATTTTTGCTTCTACGTATATATTACAGACATACTTTAAGCAAATGAAAATGGCACAAAGGTTGTCTATACTCTTTTTCTTGGCATGAGTCTACGTTAAATGACAACTCTCTATTTGAATTAATTCTACCATGCAAATGCGTAAAATTCCTCAACTGGTACAGTATAGAGCCATGAAATATTAAAGTTATGAAAAGGTATTGTTTAGGTTGCAGTAGCCCAAAATTATCGGGCTCTTTCCACCAGTGTATACACTTGTTTTGACAGATTGAATGTCAGTAGATGGCAAAGTTTGGTGTAAGGAGACAGAACGAATATTGTGGGCTAGGGTTGTAGTATTCTTTGCACAGAAATGACATTGAAAAGAAACCTTCCTTGAAAATAAGAAGGAATACTAATTCGTCGTGATATTTCGTTGGTTTTATGTTTGGTGTGCCATGTAACCTGATGTGTTTTTTAAGTTAAATTGATACATCATAGAAAAAGACATTTTATTGTTGCTGTTTCGTTGTGTATTTTTCAGCAATCTATGTACATCTTAATTACTCGACATTGTACTTATTGATTGTACTTACTATGGCCCGTTTTGACCATATTAAACACCTTTTAACTGAAATTGGTCATTAACAATTTTAAATAGGTTGAGTCTAGTTATGTCTACTTATATATCTTTTTGTCAATTTATGGTGCAGCATAATGGCTATTTAAAACCGGTGCTGAGTAAATGTGCTTTAACCAAGCACTAGTAGTTTCCCACTATTGTTTTTATCGAGTTACAGGCTATGTTAACATTACCGGGTTATACTCATTATTTCTTTCAATCTTTTGTTTAAAGGTTATTTATCTTCATCAAGCTCTGTTGAATTTAAATTCATTAAGAATATGATTAAATATGTTGAATTAAATTGTGTTAATTTAAATAGGAAAGGAAAAAAGAAAATGAATGGTATTTCATGGCACTATCATATTATCAGCAAAACGATGATGGTCACATTACAGCAAGTATATAATGTATCTGTCGATTGACTTCAGTACTTGATTTTACTGTTTTTACAGCTCGTTATCCGTGCTGAATTCTGTCACTGACAATAATAAAACCATGTAGAATATTTCTGTCTTTATACACATATTTTGTAACTTGTCAACATTGTGTGTCTTTGTGTGAACTTGTTATTGGCTTGAAGACAATTATGTATCAAAGACTGAACAATTGTATTTTTGTTTGTCTTATTTATTATATTAAAACAATGTCTTTTTCTATCCAGCTGACTCACTTTTGTTTATGGATGATTACAACTTCTGATATGGATGAAATTTATACATATATCGTTATACATATATACACATATACCAACACCATTATAACAATTACTCGTATATCATTAATGCTGTTCAATTTCATGTACGATATATATCTCCTGCCAAATTATGTGGTGGGGATACGTATGTGCGTTCCTTCGGTAAAATAGAACATGTAACACTCACTTTGGTCTTGGGTATGAGGTCAGCTCTCTCATAATGAGTTGAACTAGCAGAAACATTGATTCAACGGGCCAGTTTGTGTTTGACAAATTAGGTCATATAATTAAATAATATCAGTTATGAATGATGAGGCATGTTTATCTATAGATATTTTATTGTAACGCTGTGAATTGTTTATAGGTACAGACTAACTGTTCTGAAAAACAATATTCGTTTTCCCAATCTCTCGATCTACAATGTCAAATTATTGTGTAAAAAAAAATAATCCCCGGGACACTGGTTCGAATGTCCGAGCATTCGATGATCAAACGAAACTTTTTAAACTGTCTGAGCTACGGATTGCTGTGATCAGACAATCAACACAGCTGTGATTAGACAGTCAACATTGCTGTGATCAGACAGTCAACATTGCTGTGATCATACAGTCACATTGCTGTGATCATACAGTCACATTGCTGTGATCAGACAGTCAACATTGCTGTGATCAGAAGTCAACATTGATGTGATCAGACAGTCAACATTGCTGTGATCAGACGGTCAACATTTCGTGTCTTTATTCAAGGCTGAATGTCACAAAGTTGACATGATAAAATATGTTGTCTTTTTTGTTCATAAGGTAATACATTTTTATTGATGATTACTAATTAAGATCAACAGCTGAAAGTTGATACAGTACCTGCGCATGCTCTGTGCGTCAAAATGCATTGAAAGTCTGGGGAACCCCCATGTTGCATTTCATATTGCTCACAATAGCAAATTTAACAGTCTGAAAGAACAAATGTACATCATGCATCGAAGAAGTTACAGGCAGTTAACAACTGAAGCGCAATGCTTGATTAAGAACATGGCGCTTAAAATGCTTCGTATCGGTAAAATTGTTCTCAAATGTATTAAGTCGTGCATGGAAACACTGACATCAGTTTTACAAATAATGCATAGACCGTACTGTAAATAAACTACTCCGTGTTGAGGTTGCGTTTTTAGACGATTCACGGTGCCAAAACCCTGTATAGAGTATACGTATATCAAGATACATGGAGTACTCGCCGCAGCCGATCTCCCGGAGATATGCCGATTCCAATCAAAATAATTGCACTTTCCCGGTTTCTGAAGACGTCAATGCACATAAACAAATTATACAAAATGCGGTTCAGTATTCTTCGAGGAAATGCTTGTCTACATCTTTGTCTCCTCTAGTCGTGAAAGCATTTGGTCATATCAGAAATACACATCGAGTATATAATCCAAGCGTAACGACATTCAGCAATTCGTAGAGGATATTTTCCCAGCGATTGATCTGTTTCCTTTAGCCACCAATAAAGTAAGATTTTCACCAGAAGCCTTTATTAAACGCATTGCACTGCAAACAAAAAGGATAATATTTATGAAAATATTATCAAAAGGTGATCATTAAAAAATGCAATCATATCCATAAGCAAATATTTTCCACCAGCACTTGAAAATCAAAAGGGTTAAATCTTTTTCTAGCTCGGTCAAAGTAGATTTTAGACGAAGTTGTTCTTCCCATGTGATAACATTACTGAAAGAGTTTTCTGTATGATGTCCCTGAAGAAAGTGTAGGAACTGATCAATGCGAAAACGTATTCAAGGAAAACCTGCTAGTAAAACGTGTATAAGACAATATCACTTCATTGTGGAAAAGTCTTGAAAAGATTCATTGGTGTTTTGTAGTACAAAAACTAAACAATTTCATCCGATAGATGTCATCCAGAATCCCGAGAGATTGAAATTAAACTGCTATAACAATTCACTACCTCTGATAGTCCGCTCCAACAATGCTCTTGCCATTGACGCATAGAAGCCGGTCCCCTACATGCAGACTTCCACTCAGAGCTGCCGGACTGTCGGGTAGGACCTTTCGAATGTAGATACCGGCCAGTCGCAGTGGGGTGTACTGTAATAGAATTTGTATTTAAAAAAGAAAATGTGATTATATTAACCTTCATGCAGAGACCAGTTTGTTGACGCAACAATCCTACTACCCTTTTCCGAACGTAACCTTCGACATCATGATGGATGTCTTATGTATTGCAGTTGATGTTTATTCTTGCGGAGCTTAATCTCTGTTTTTCCACCGGTTTTTGACGTACCTAATGATTTTTTTAACGTCTTTTCTCATCGGTTTTGGCTTTTTCAATCTTTTAGTGTCATTGTGACAGTAGTAAACGAATTAATCAAGGAGTATGAAGTATATTTGGGGAGCGGTTTAAAACTGTTACCGTGTTTTCTGAGTATTATCCACCATTTACTTACCAGGCCATCGATAAGACCTAGACCGAGGCCCTGGTTACCCTTTCGGACATTGACTGAAAAGACAGGATTACTGGAAAGACGGGACGAAGTAGACATATCGAACCGTTCCTCGACGTCTACAATAATAAAAAAGCAGAATGTTAGCAATTTTGAACGGTTCTCTCCAGTTCAGATAATAATACATTGCAAATTAACTATTTACTGTAATTAAACAAACCAAATTTTTAAAACGTTTAATACAGATGATTGTAACTAATGCTATACTTACGTATATTGGTCGGAGAGCGTGGCAATGCTACGGGAAGGGCTTGCTCCGAATGTTGCTTGTGGGCTTCCAAAATTTGCTTATTGACGGAAAGCATCAGATCTTTAGAGCAGAACTCTTCTTCCTCATCATTCCCGTTTCTGTCCAATGCAAGCTCGCCATCCGTATGATAGCTGGTCGAATTTCGATCTTTCTCACCTTTCGTATGGTATCCACTCTTAGCAGCACTTTTATCTTGCTCACCGTCCATATGGTTTCCGCTTCTAGTTGAATTCTTACTTTGCTCGCCATCTGCACGGTATTCGCTTCTAGCAGAACTTTTAGTTTGCTCGCCATCTGTATGATTTCTGCTTTTAGCAAAACTTTTATTTTGCTCGCCATCTGTATGGTATCCGCTTCTAGCAGAGCTATTATTTTGTTCCCCATCTGTGTGGTATCCGCTTCTAGCAGAAATTTTTCCTTGTTCATCGTCCGTGTGATTTCCCATCCTATCAAAATCTGATCTTTGTTCGCTGTCAATGCAGGAGTCCTGATACATGTCAGGTCTTCCCAATATGTCACTTACAGACCTTTGAACTCTCCGACCAGTTGGTTTTTCACGAGACACTTCGTTCATTGGCTGTCGCGGTGGTACTGGTGGCGGGGCTGAAACTCTGATTGCATTTGCCGAGTTCCGCGTGTACTCTGGGTTGTCCGCTTTGACCGCAGCTTCTTCAATAGACATGCTTTTACTTGATACTACCGGAATTGTATCCGTATGCATGCCAACTGGACTTGTACTTGTATCCATGGTGACAGATTCTGGTTCAGATCGATCCGTGACGTCACCACCTGCCATGACAGGTGACCCTGACTTATTGATTAACATATCAAGTCTTTTATCCGGTGAGTCTGTCTGTCGGGGACTGAGATTTGATTTGAGTAGGTTCCGTTTTGGCTTTACGGGTGCAGTAGTTTTATTTTTATCAGTAACCTTACTTAACAAGTTAGGCGATGACCCAGGCACCACACCGTTTGGGGTTTTCCGTCCCCTGGGGGTCGATTGTGTGCTACTGTCGGTGTCGGCAACAAACTGTACTTTCCGGTGGGGAGACATGGTTCGAGATCTGGAAGACGAGGTCTGACAGAAGAAAGATTTCTGCAGCTCGACCTTAGGAAAGTTCCCTGTGAATCGCGGTGTGTTGCCAGGACTTAGACCAATGTCACTTTCATCTGCAAAGAGAGATACGTAGGAGCAGAATATTACTAAATTCGATGAATTATTGGATCTAATAACATTTTTTTTTCTTGACCGTTGAATTTTTTTTCATCGGTTGTATGCTTTCTTCTTATTTTGAAGTTATACTGGTAACCGGGGGGATGGTGTTTTTGAAAAACTTACATATATTTGTTATTGTGCCAAGAAGGGCATCGGGAAAGGGAAACGCATTGTATATACAATCGGCTCATGAAGATATATATTAGAAATACCAGTGTATGTGGCAAAAGAGTACCTTCTGAGAGACCAAACTGTGCATAAAGCTGTTTGAAGAGAGCCCAGAATTGTCCAGCATCCGGGGGATGCATAAGATCGATGTCACATCCCTCCGTGGGAAGCAGGAATGCAGGGTGACCAGAGAGGTCGAGCATCACCTCGTCTAGAAAGATTATAATCAGAGCTTTCAATAGGTTCAGCAATATTACAGTATTTGTCATCGTAAACATTCTTTATAAGAAAATATATTCGTGTAAAACTAAATTTACTAATCAGAAATCGCACATAATGAATTAAATTATTCTTCAAATTACTATAAAATAGAAACAACGTGGACACAGTTTTATAGAGAATATAACTTTTTAAAAAGCTAATATAAATATAACATTATAACCTTCCCTTTTTATTTGATCATTCACTCTCTCGAAAAGTGATTTATGAGAAGCTTTGTCCGGAAAAAGATGGCGTACCTTCCCTAAGAGCAAGTTCCACATCCTCCGGTGAAGGATGCCAATTTTCTGGCATGATATGTCTGTCGGCATGGTAACCAGAAAGGAGGCGGTACAACTGAGCCTCGTTTAGGGGATGAAAATGCTTTTTCATTGTCAGCCAATCATACTGAAAGACACAAAATGTAATGAAAAATGGTATCGTTTGAATTTACAACCAAAGAGTTGTACATCATACAGTGAAGAATTACATCAAACAGAAGTATATGATAGGGCTAAATATTGAGCGGGTGAAACGTTTTAGCTTTTCGCACATGTGGTTATTTTGGAGAAAAAATAATTCAAATCATTCCAACGTTTCTGTATGTATGTTGTATTAGAGAGAGACAAATGTGAAACATGTGTGTTTTTCTTGTGTAATAGTATTGCAAACATTTTTTATAATCTCCATTCAGGATTTTTTTTTTAAAATCAGCACTTCGATGTTTTAACCTTCAGCCAATACTGAGAAAACAGCAGTATTATATATTTATTTTGTGATGAAAAATGTACATTGCAAATGTAAGCCCTCTTATATGAGGACAATTTCTTTTGACCTGGCGGGAGATGGGAGAGCTGAACCCCGGAATCACCAACCCTAACAGTCACATGTGTATATACAAAATGTATATTTATTATTTTTCTTACGCTGTGATTAAAAACCTCTTTTTATCATTTTTAATTGTGCTAGTCAAATGTAAGCTGTCATTTATTTGAATAAAAACCATCGTTTTTATTCTACGAACGATACAGGATTGTATCATTTGTTAAGGAAGATGTTTTTTTTAGTAATAATGATTAATTTACAATATTTATAAAAATCTCTTTCTACGAATATTGTGTACTGTGTAGTTTTTATAAAAAATGGAAAGTTTCTACACTGTTAGTCTAATCGTATTCTAGTAATGAGATGGTGTCACTTACTACTTTTTCCAGTTTTATACTTGTATTGAATAGCATAATATATGATAAACTTACAAACTATATCTCAACAAATAATCCGGTCACCGGCTTATTACCCTACCATGAACTGTAGGATTGTGATTAATTTTACCATTCAAATTAAAAATATAGCTGTTAATATCATACCTTTATTTCAAATTCATCCAAAGTTATGTTACAATGCACTTCTTTTCATTGAAAGATATTTAATTTGATAAAGCAAAGTAAGAATATACGATAGCTTACCTTTTCTAATAAAGCTTTGGATGTTGAAAGGAATTCTGCTACTGTTATCAAGCGTTCGAAAAGATGTTCAAATTCTTCATCTAAGTTGTTTCTGATCGCCCATTCCTCGAGCTTACCAAGATTTGCTTTGATCCGCACACCTGCTGCCCAGGTGTAGTACTGTTCAGCTGCATCTGGTTCTATAGAAATTACTATCATTATGAAACGAAATCAATTGGCTTACATCAAATAATAGCTGAAGTACAAGCCTCTAACATTTCTTATAGGGTTCGCTCTGATATGGATGTTAGAAACGTTAAATGCACAACATATTACGGAATCTTATATCGAAAAAAACCCGTATTAAATCACAATAAACAGTCAAAATACTATTTGTATTTATACGTCAAAGAAGTAATTTCAACGTGTTAACTCCCATATCACACTAAATCATACAAACGTATGTTCGCAGGATACGAATTACTAAAAATAAGAATAAGGATAAGGAAGTTATCCCAACAGTGTCGACAATACAAGTTTGTAAAATTTTCTGGGGGTTCCTTGTTTTTTGTCAACGATGCAGTCAGCGTAAATTATGCCTTTGCCTTACGCTAGCCGAGGAGATTGTTGAGTTTAAACATAAATGATATTATATCCTATTAGATTTCTCTCTGGTTCTAATGTGATGTAAATATTTCTTTGTCTTGAAAAGGGCGCTCTGAAAATGTGACAGCCTTGTATTATCTACACTGTTGAAATTATGTCTTGCCCCATATAACATATAAACAAAATAGATTTTAAATTTATGCAGTGAAAATGCACACCAAGAAACCTACTCACCTTTCAGGAAGAGACGGTTGAAAACGGACGTGCTGCAGAAGAAGAATATGTACATAAATAGTTGTTTGATGACGTCATTGTGCAGACGCAATGAAACGACTAATCCGGCTACACTGTCCAAGATGGCGATCACCTTGCCAACACCGTGTCTACTACCGGCATCTTCCGTGAAAGGGTTTCCATCCAACAAAATAGGTAGAAGTAAGTATAGAGCCTGTAAGGAAAATAACAGAAATTCTGAAACATAATGTTTAATAAAAAGCACTAATGTAAATATATACCATTGAAGAACTTTGTTGTTAGTTTTGCATGATTTTATTGTGTTTCATCAGAATAAATTGTATGGAAATATCTTTACCACTTAGTTTAAAACATTACCTTGGTGATCGTGTAAATAGACTGTTGAAAGCAGAATACAACTATCTCTTCCAGTCCTGTTGCAAGGTCACGAAACGCCGCATGGACATCGCTGTCAAGGGGACTGCCACGCGTTACACTTGTTCTGGGTAACCGGAAGTTGTCTGCCCTGAGGTAAAGGATAAGTTGAACACAGTTGGAAATCCACTGAAGCATCTCCCTGAGGAAATCTTCACTGACGGACGGGTGACGCCTGCTTCTCACCAAACCGCTATAACATTTACAATAAACAGAAAAACAGTTATTGGATATCACGAAATCGACCCTGGATGATTCTTAGCTATTTTATTTGAGAATAAATTCAAAACGGAATAGTCAGATTTATCGTTACCACTTATATTACAGTTTACTATAGCTTTGTAGTTTATGCTGTGAAAGAAATTAATATATTTTAGTTCATATTCCTTGAATACTAACAAATGCTTGCTCACCTGTTGAACTTGTTTTCCTTCAGTGCTTTTGATATTGCCTGTAATCGAAGAAAATAATACAAAAGTAGTTAATATTCCATCACTTAAGAGATTATATGCCATTTCAACATACAGATATTTCACAACACTATATATGGTGTTTTTCCTTTTCTTTCAGCACACTCAGCAACACAAAGCTGTTTAACATTTAATTCAAATTATTTAAATGTATTCCTATTTCGTAAATTGCATGCATATATTCTTACTATGTATATTACATGTACACACGTATATTCCTATTTTGTATATTCTTATACTGTAGATAACATAACTCCAATCCTATACCGTAGATTACATGACTATACTCCTACCCTGTCTATTACATATCTTTATTCCTATACCGTAGATTACATAACTTTACTCCTACCCTGTCTATTACATATCTTTATTTCTATACTATAGATTACATATTTTTATTTCTATACCGTGGATTACATAACTCCATTCCTATACCGTAGATTACATAACTATACTCCTACCCTGTCTATTACATATCTTTATTCCTATACTGTAGATTACATATCTTTATTTCTATATCGTGGATTACATAACTCCATTCCTATACCGTCGATCACATATCTTTATTGCTATACCGTAGATTACATAACTCCATTCCTATACTGTATATCACATATCTTTATTGCTTTACTGTAGAGTACATACCTTATTCCTATACTGTAAATTACATATCTTTATTACTATACTGTAGATTACATATCTTTATTCCTATACTGTAGATTACATATCTTTATTCCTATACTGTAGATTACATACCTTTATTCCTATACTGTAGATTACATATCTTTATTTTTTACTCTACATTACATATCTTTATTCCTATACTGTAGATTACATATCTGTATTGCTATACTGTGGATTACATACCTTTATTCCTATACTGAAGATTACATATTTTTATTTTTTACTCTACATTACATACATTTATTCCTATACTGTAGATTACATACATTTATTCCTATACTGTAGATTATATATCTGTATTCCTATACTCTACATTACATATCTTTATTCCTATACTGTAAATTACATATCTTTATTACTATACTGTAGATTACATATCTGTATTGCTATACTGTGGATTACATATCTTTATTCCTATACTGTAGATTACATATCTTTATTGCTATACTGTAGATGACATACATTTATTCCTATACTGTAGATCACATATCTTTATTTTTTACTCTACATTACATATCTTTATTCCTATACTGTAGATTACATATCTGTATTGCTATACTGTGGATTACATATCTTTATTCCTATACTGTAGAGTACATATCTATATTCCTATACTGTAGATTACATATCTATATTCCTATACTGTAGATTACATATCTTTATTCCTATACTGTAAATTACATATCTTTATTTTTTACTTTACATTACATATTTTTATTACTATACTGTAGATCACATATCTTTATTCCTAATCTGTATATTATATATCTATTTTTCTTTACTATTGCTCACATATCTATATTGATATACGGTACATATTACAAACCTATTTTCCTACACTGTATATATTACCTACCTATATCCCTACGCTGTGGATTAAATACCTATATTTCCGAACTGTAGATTTAATACTTATAGTCTAATACCTACAGTCATATACTGTAGATTCTTTTCATCCATAGTTATTTTCGCGTTCTTACACGTACCTAGCTATTTGAACATGGCAGTAAGACTTTCGCGAATCGATACTTAAGTTGAATTTTTGCAGAAATATTTATCAACTTACGCGAAATATCATTTATCTAGAGAAACGGTCTAGCAAGAAATCTTAATTATAGTTATGATATATCTTATTTTGATAATCCATGAACGCAGCTTACCGCAGCACTTTCCGTCACGGCCGCAAGAATTCTCAGCAACAGGTTTCGTATCTGATAGGGATCGAACCGGACACAGGAAAATTGAATGCACATACTGTACAGGTATGCAGGCGCTAGGACAAAGTTCGTCTGGTCAAGCCGTATAACAGCACCTATTGCGTTAACAAGTTCGTCTTCTTTCTCACGGGAATACGCGAATCTGAATTTCTCTCGTTGAACCTCTGTTCCTTGAGACTCCATTGTGGTAATTGAGATATTGTCATCTGTAGAACCAAGCATGAGCGGAGGTACATGGACTACATTTTGATGACGTTTGGCGTTGTTTTGTTTACGTCGCATACTATCACTGAATATGTCATCCGACGAGGATGATATCCAAGGAAGGTCTGACGGGATATCATTTCCTGCCGTGAAGTCTTTGAAGAGAAACACGTAATAGTTACCGATTGAAATGATGTCTCCTGCTTGAAGTGTTTCCCTACCCACGACGGCTGAACCGTTCACCCGGATGTTAGAGGTCAAATTGCATTCCACCTCCAGACAGTAGTTGTGGTGGAGTGCTCCTGACAGGTGTGAATACGAGGACCGCTTCAGGTGAATGTGGCAGTGCTGGGGGTTGATATCGGGGGCGGAAAGTGTCATACACGGTTTGTTCATCACAGCACCGTCGGGACAGCAAACAAGCATCGTCTTACCCTCGAGGATGTAGAAAAGCGAGTCCTTGTTAACATCATACCCCCTCAGTGTCAAAAGAAACGGCCGAGAGATAGGGGCGAGCACGTGATCTGAACCAGTCTTACTGGGAAGGGAGACGTCTGTTCGCTGCCCTTTAACGTCAAAACTTATACTTCGCATCAGGTTGTTTTGATTGTTATTATTGCACGTCCACGAATTGGAAGACGAACTTCCCTCTAAATCGTATTCATCTCTTAATCTGTCCAGGCTTTGTGTCCAGGGAACAAAGAAAGGTATTGCGCCAGGCCTAAGCTTAGAAAAAGATATCTTTCTAGCATTTTCATTTAATCCGTAGGTGTCATCGTCGCCCATGGAATCTATCACCTCCATTTTCCTGCGAAGTTCATATCTCCGGCAGAATCCATCCGAAGGCCGCCAAAACTTTTGTAGAAACAGTGGTCTGTCTTTATCAGATAATATCCTAGAGCACATCCTCTTCCACCTTGGCTCTTGTTTGACCTTGTTGTTCACATCCAGCCTGCGAGTACTTCCGGCGTTGGCCCGACCGACTACATCACATAGTACATATTCATCGTGAAGTGTAGCAGACAAGCCGTACCTTTCAAGGGCTTGCTTCACTAGTTCGGGGGCCGTGGAGCGACATGAGGCAAGCACACTCTTATACTCCACACCAGGAACTATAGTCCCTCCAAATATCTTAAGTACCCCCGGAGACGAATGGTCCGTGGAGAGCTCCGTTGGAAGAGAATGATCATCACTGCTAGAGTGTTTGGAATTTCTACCGGAATATATAATAGTCCGCCGTATAGCGTGTTCTTCCAGAAACACGGACGTTTCTAGGTCACAACCACTGTCCGTCCCGTCGTCCATGTATTGGACCGGAACTGGTCCACCCTGCCAAGTCAGGGATTCCATACTGGAACTAAAACTCACGGAATCATTATAGTACTCGAAAGACAGCAGTCTGAAATAAAGTATATAGAAAGAATACGAGCATGGTGATCATCTTCATTATACACTAAATCGTTAAAATTCTGCTTCAAAGTGTCTTTGATCGTTCAAATACGCCTTTTTTATGTGTCTGTAATAATCCATGTGAATGGCTTCCATGGGGTATGTAAACTAAGTTAACATCTATTTTACAAGCTTACACCTGAAATAGCAGGAACTTTCATAATTTACATTAACAGATTGATTTCTCTCGCCGGGCCTAAAACGTCTGGTAAGACAATAAGATATATTTTAAGGCGGTTTTCAAAGAAGTTCATCCGAAACAAATTAGACTGACAAAGACACAATTATAAGAAAGATATTTATGGTGTAATTATGACGATACGCGTCAACATTGTTCTGAAATAAAAGGTAACTCTAATTACACTACACGGTCTACTTAGTATGGTCAGCGTGTGTGAAATCCGGTATTGTGATTGGCTCATATTTAACGCTGGAATCCGATGTTCATTTCGTTTTTAGTACAACACAATACATAGAAGACAATGGCGTTAAATCACAATACACTCTACACTGTATAAGTCTATACAAAGCTTTGTCATGTTCCCGTCAACAAAACCCGATTCATCTATTTATGAAAACATTCCACCTTACCAACAATGGTCCACTTTTGGTAAGATTTTTACCCATTAAACAGAGGAAGCCCACTCCATAGTAGATAATCCCGTATCACGTTTGTCTGCCTGTTTGTGTATTGAGCGGTTTACTGTTATAACATATAACTATTGACTTTGTAGGTAAAATATCCTTTCCATTGATTGGGCAGTCGACCTCTCCACAAGAAACACCTTTTTAACAATAAAAGTCAGGCCATTTACGATCGATTGAAAAGTTCATATTGAGATTCTTCGTCGACTTGAAAGTATATTGACTATACTCCAAGATTCGCTCAATGACTGCATTGTACCAAATAGTTATAAATGTCTACAACTGTGCCAAAGCGTACTAATTACAACATATCTACCGTCTTGTGCGATTTAGAAAAAAACATAGATATGTTATAATTATAACACAAGTGTAAATGTCGTCCACAGCTACTTAAACAAAAACGTTTCCAACTGACTACAATTATTTTCCCACGGTAAAAGTTGCTTACGAAAGAGAAAACCCATATTATATTTCATCGATTTTACAACAAATGTTAGAGTTAATAGTCGGGAAAACACACGTTAACCTACTAGTTTCACTACGTACCTTGTGTCGGTGTTAATGGTAGTGCGCGTACCCGGCGACTGATCTGTCCAATACACGTATTCGCTGAAACATTCCTGTGTACTCAGTCCTGGGGAGGAGTAATCCGATTGTAGGTACTTATACGTATCACTTACCCAACACCGTTGTACATAATGTTCTACATAGCGGGATTAACAGTAAAATGTCGGCACTGTTTTCTTAAATTCGTCCATTGTCAACTCCACCGATTGAGTGTTGTTACTAAATACTCGCCGCTTTATAACTTACCTAAAATTGACAAAATTTTACGTATTACATTACGTGTTAGCGCATTACAGAAACATGGTGGTCTTGTTTTCCGATCCCTAGACGATATTTCTTGACGGGTTCATAAAGATATGCTGACCTCTACCCATAAAGTGATTTGGTAAACGGAGCGCTCCGAAACAGATCGGTCCTAAACGGTTTACATGGCTGTGTGAACACTAGGTATTCGCCACAGATATGTATGAAACAGGCAACATAACAAAACGTGATTGTCACAAAGTGCTACTTTCTTAAGGTGGTGACTTTACGAACTCGAAACCCAACAAATGCACATTCATTAGACTATTTGCTTTTTTATGTTATACATATAACATGTCATTACTCAAATATTTACAGAAGTAACCTTTCAATGTCGCACACATACGTGTTAATTGTCAAAATACCTATCAATAAACCCAAATTCAAAGCTTAAACCACAATTCAAGGCTTCACATGTTTATAATTCATAAAACCCCACACTTTCTATGCACTAAAGATTCCATGAACATACAGTAGATTAATTCATTTAAACATCTATTTCTCATCCTTGCCTATGATATATCGTTTGCTCGTCGTAAGAGCATTAGTATTACTTGTATCTGCATGTTTCTCCCTGGGAAAGCTTTCTATTTTTGAAAATGTCAAAATTAAATGTCCAAGTAACAAGGTAGAATCCTATAAGTTTGTGAATGGAACAGAACGCTGTTTTGTTTATTACAACCATTGAAACGAAACAAAAGCAATAGTGAAAACAGATAGTATTCGGTGTTTAAAACCTCCAAATGATGACAAACGTAGTCAGTTTAACATTTAACATCTTTCCAAAAACATCTACAATGTATGTAGCAATTAAAGTTACCCAGATATGGATAAAAGAAGTTTTTTAACCGAATACATTGATAAAATCATGTCTTAGTAACGAAGTTTATATTTATCCGCAACACGCCTTCATATTTTTCTAATGTGATATAAGATGGACTCTTAAGTTACCGAAGCATCTGCAACAAGCATTCAGAAAACAACCTTAGCTGTTTCATTGTTGAAGGATCTATCACCGTGTCACTTAGAGTACCGAAATATGGACTTAATTCAGCATCTGCAACATGCTTGCAGTAGAACGTGCATGGTTGCATAATTGATACAAGTATTTTACATATAGTCACCGAGATATGGACTCTGACTGTTCACGGACGGAAGGATCCGTTTCTTCATTCTTCCTTATCAACTTACTGCGTTTCATATACAACTTGTTAAATTAAACTTTTAAGAGAACGATGCGTTATCCCTACTGGTAGTTTTTATCGATGATATTGAATGGATTCACTACATACTTTATAAGCGTCCTATAAATTGAAATCAGAAAATGTTCTCCAATATGTTTGTATAAGGTATGAATTCGTAAACAAGAGGACTCCTGCCATTTGTTCCACCGACACAAATCCTTAGCTTTTGCACGGAAATACTGTGCTACCTTACAGGCTTATTTTGACCAACACATTGACCGCCGTCGAAGTGGCACCATCAGTGGACAGATTGGGTCACTGTTCACGGAGTCCAGGCATGTGTTACTATTTCGACCAGCTCTGTTTGAAATATTTTCAATAGAGGTGATAGACACTTATCTCCAGCGACGTATATCTATATATTACTGACCAATCCCACATCTAACCAAAGAGAAGTCACTAATATCGGTATACAAATTAATATTGTCCAATATCAATAAGAGCTGAACAGAGAATAACACGTTTAGTGTCACGTTTGAACTAGACATATTTATCAGAAATCTTCCACAGAATATAGTGTTAGAGGCTAAAGTAGATTAGGGAAACAGTATTTTTGTTTCTGTAAATTTATTGTGAGCAGTCTGTCAGAGCAGCGAGTACCTTTCATTGGATTAAATGTTAAATGTCAAGGTCACATTATAATAAACTAATAACTTTATAACGTTCTAAATCAACCCCAAGACATAATTATGTACAGCGATATGTTACAATGGGAATAATCGATACATTGAGGAGAGAGATGCATCAAGGAAAAAACAACAGGAACATTGAAATGGTTGTTCAAACATGGCTGTATATAAATGAGGAACATTATATCAATATTTTGTGCATAATCTACATATAAATATTAATTTGACGGCAATATCTGGGGATTAACGACCATATAAATGGAAAATATGGTATTACCGGTAAATATGTTTACGTAAGGTTCGCGTTATGTCGGTACCCGTTCGGTTAATTTTCGATATAGTTGGAAAAATAAGAAAGGCGTGCGTTTGAGGTACATACAAATGTAGTTAACTAAACTTCCAGTCCTCCTTGTAGCAATATGACAGTACATTGTACTTTTTGTTGGAAAACAATTATTTCATGTTCTGACTAATGTGATACAGGTATATCAAACCAAACGTTTATGACCTACTCCTGAAATTCGATATATGTAGTGCGGTCTCTGTATCGAACCCGGACAAAAGCCCAGTCTTGCCAGGTAAACGACTAGGGTAAACATGTCAACTGTAGCATTAATGTCATTTGTTATGTATTTTAAAACGCAATAAAACTAACTTTAATACGACTTGATGGATTTCACTTAATGCCGGGTCACTTGTTCCACTGGCAATGTTAAGTACTGGGCTAGTAAAGGTTGTTAATGACTTCATTAGGAGGGTTTGCCGTAGGTCCAATTTGTGATTGGCCATGACCACCGAGGACGTTATGTTGAATCTGAGGTGGCATGTGTATCAAAAATAGATAGCAATTCACCATCACCAGTATTGGTATACGTCGAAGTATCATAGTATCAACAGGAGTGATTAATACAAGCTGAAATAACTTGTTTCATAATTGTTGTAAAATAAATATAGTTTATTTTTTTTAAGTATTATAGTAATTCGACTTCATACAAAGCACTGATTAATTAAACTTTAGAAAGAAACTGGGAAAAATAGTGAATAGCTATAGCTAACTAAGTATAACAGCTTATTTCTACATATACGCACGTTCTTACTCTGATAAAATGAAAAAACCTGCTTAAAGTTTTTAATTTGTTTTATTTGCTTTTCCTCAGATACAGAAACAGATATCATATCAGGCCCGCTTCATACCATTCACACTTGTAATCCGGCATATATTTACATCGCAGATTTTTGGTTCAAACATTTTAAAACATACAAGTAATACAATGCAAATATAACAAGTCATAGCAAGGCATCTACACAGCGCCATTAGAGCCAACATAATCTTTACATGGTTAAATGTATTATATAAATCACACAATGTGTACATTTAGATTGGAATGTAATTTTGTTATCATAAAACGATTTAAACCCTCACATTGTATGACAAAAGTTCCACGTCCTAACCTCGTGTAATTACGTCACAAGTATGGACAACATGTTAACACAAGAGGCAGAACAGTAGGGATTACAGTTAATTCTTAAAAGACGCCTATAAATTAGTGTTGGCAATCTGTCATTTATATAGTTCAGCAATTCATCAGGAACGTTTCTACGAAACAATTTATATAAACATGTTAAAGTGAAGATAGCTCACTCACAATTTCGAAACACAACCTATACGCACTACACTGTGTAGGCGCACAATTTATTTTAAAACATCATGAACAATTTTCAATTTCACACACGTCACTATGGCACAATGTGTGTTGCTTTTATCTCTTGCTTCTATGTCTTATTTTCTAGGAACTCAAATGGACTCACGCTGGTATCGTATACTCGAAACCTTACCCTCCTTATGCTGAATATATCGGTAATCAAATAAACTGGTCACGCTGCAAACGTCAATCTAATGAATTCCATTGGCTAATCGTCCGTCGTCTATTCTAAGAAGTTAACATAAACGCATGGTCCGTGAATATAAAAGATGTGCTAAACGCGACAACACGAACTGGTTTAGTGTAGTCTGTTAACATGCATGGAGTTTTAAAGGTTTTCCTCACACCACTCATTTGACAGTTTTCATCGATTAGTTATGTTTTGAAGTATGATAATTTTTGTTATGTATTTTAGATATGTACGATTGGCTTATAGATTCTATATTATACTCATCAATAACACACTAGGACTAATTTCACCTCCACTTCACTGCTCGATAGGACTAAATTCACCTCCGCTACACTGCTCACTAGGACTAAATTCACCTCCACTACACTGCTCACTAGGACTAAATTCACCTCCACTACTACACTGCTCACTAGGACTAAATTCAACTCCACTGAACTGTTAATTAGGAGTTAATAACTTACACGACATTGTTCATTAGGATTAAATTCACCTTCACTACACTGCTCACTAGAACTAAATTCACCTCCACTACACTGCTCACTAGGAATTAACCTACACTACATTGCTCTCTGGGATTAAATTAACCTACACTACACTACTCACTGGGATTAAATTAACCCATACTACATTGCTCATTATGACTGAATTCGCCAGCACTGCACATTACCGTTGGTAGTCCAGAGTAACCATTTCTTCAGTTTAACGAGACGTCAATCACAAATTTCCAGAGATCAATTTCTACAAATTACTGTTGTAAAAGCGGGGTTCAGGATTAAAGCGTATACCGTAGCTGATGCTAATATTATCAATGTGCATATTGAAATAATACATGTATTCCTTCAATTAGAAATACAATAGAGCAATGACAACTGTGAGACCATGGTTACATGTTACTTAGTTGGTAAGACCGGATCACTTATCGCCTGAGCAGGATCGCATGTAAAGGATATGGTGATGGCGAACCGTTCTCCCTCCACGAGCTTCTCGACGAAATGGACGTTCTCAGACCCGGAAGTAAAAAATGAAACTCGACCTTCAAGGACAAAATTACACTCAATAAAAGACACAGGAACAGTGAAGTCACAAATCAGAAGAAAAGTCACCACATGTGGCACCCGTCATAATATCTCCTGTCAAGTACCCAAAAAGGATATCGATCACCGAAACAAAACAAATAAGATTAAACTTATTAGATATTACCGAAAGAATGATATACTGAAATCGTTATTTTATACTTGTCAGTTATTTAATGGAATTATCTTAGTTTCAATCAATCAAGGTTTTCTGAGGTCTACCAGAGCTGACCTACCCAGCCTCGGCTCCACTGTACGGTTAACGTCCTTGTCAACGAAGATAAACCTGCCGCCCGAGAATTCTTCTCCGTAAGTTGACAAGTAGAGCAATGACGTGTAGTGGAACGACCCGTAAGTCACCTGTAAAACAGCATCAACGTGTAGTGGAACGACCCGTAAGTCACCTGTAAAACAGCATCAACGTGTAGTGGAACGACCCGTAAGTCACCTGTAAAACAGCATCAACGTGTAGTGGAACGACACGTAAGTCACCTGTAAAACAGCATCAACGTGTAGTGGAACGACCCGTAAGTCATCTGTAAAACAGCATCAACGTGTTGTGGAACGACCCGTAAGTCACCTGTAAAACAGCATCAACGTGTTTAAAGTAACAAACAAACTATCAATGTCCTGAAAGCGGCTGCAAAATACTACAGTAAATTCATTGTACATCTTAACCTTTATCTGGAAACAAACACTCTTTCTTATGACAAATTGTATATGTTAATGCGATTTGTCACGTCAAATTACATGATTTTTTTCATATTTTTGATTCTCCAGATTAATTCATAGCGTAGAATCTACTCCCATTGTGTTAATTCAATACTAGCATTAGATGACAAAAAAACACGTCGTCTTGTTTAATGTTTTGGGCATAATGAAAACAAACATGCGGATGCGTCGAGGCTGTGCTTGAAGTCTGACAAATCAACACCTGTGGAAAATAGCAAAATGATAGCAGAGTGGTGGAAATATAACATGTTGTTTATTTATGACATCGTCCTGCAATACGTAATGAAGCATAGAAAGACAAGTGTTAGTCGTGTAATATGCAAAACAGGTAGATTTTTTTTGTAAATTTTCAGTAAATATTTTCTCCCATGCAATTGTTTGAGACTGTGGTATACGGATATTCTGAATAGTTTTGGTATTTTACCTTGTCGACGTGCGCATGCCAGTACTCATCATGCACTGTAGTTGCCGGTTTGGTATTCATCCGCGAGAAAAACGTAGGTTTGGTAAGGAATAAGGCACTCGGCTTTACACCAAACTCTTTAGCAATAGCCACATGGATTTTTGATTTCACATTTCTAGATAAGAAAATTGTAGAAATCGATTCAGCAATACTTTTAAAATGCATGTGGTTAAAATAAGATATGAGTAAACAGAACTCTATTAAGAGATATAAGTTCATGTATTTGATACTATTTTACGTTTTGTTTAGAAAAATATTGATTCCTATTATTTTGCTATTAGATGAACTAATAGTAATGCCAACAATTGAGGCTCCCTTTCCCCTTATACAGTTATCAGGATAATTACGTAAACACTCACCTATATACACGGAAATCTTCTTCGGTGAATATATTTTCAGATATTGTTTCCAGTAATCTTGATAATAGAGAAAACAAATCCCTATATTGGTCTTTTTAAAAGTCCCTTGTTAGGGTCAACAGTAAATGCTGTCATGTCGCCCCCTAGGTAATCTACATTATTCTACTCTTAATGTTGCCATGTCGTCTATAGGTAATCTACATTATATCTACTCTTAATGCTGTCATGTCGCCCCTAGGTAATCTGCATTATTCTACTCTTAATGTTGCCATGTCGCCCCTAGGTAATCTACATTATATCTACTCTCAGTGTTGTCATGTCGTCTCTAGGTAATCTCCCTTATATCTACTCTCAGTGTTGGCATGTCGCCCCTAGGTAATCTACTTTATTCTACTCTTAATGTTGCCATTTCGCCCCTAGGTAATCTACATTATATCTACTCTCAGTGTTGTCATGTCGCCTCTAGGTAATCTACATTATTCTATTCTTAATGTTGTCATGTCGTCTCTATGTAATCTACCTTATATCTACTCTCAGTGTTGTCATGTTGCCCTTAGGTAATCTACATTATTCTACTCTCATTGTTGTCATGTCGTCTCTAGGTAATCTACATTATATCTACTCTCAGCGTTGTCATGTCGTCTCTAGGTAATCTACCTTATATCTACTCTTAATGTTGTCATGTCGTCTATAGGTAATCTACATTATATCTACTCTTAATGTTGTCATGTCGCCTCTAGGTAATCTACCTTATATCTACTCTCAGTGTTGTCATGTCGCCCTTAGGTAATCTACATTATTCTACTCTTAATGTTGTCATGTCGTCTCTAGGTAATCCACATTATATCTACTCTCATTGTTGTCATGTCGTCTTTAGGTAATCTACCTTATATCTACTCTCATTGTTGTCATGTCGCCTCTAGGTTATCTACCTTATATCTACCCTCAGTGTTGTCGTGTCGTCTCTAGGTAATCTACATTATTCTACTCTTAATGTTGTCATGTCGTCTCTAGGTAATCTACCTTATATCTACTCTCATTGTTGTCATGTCGCCCCTAGGTAATCTACATTATTCTACTCTCAATGTTGTCATGTCGTCTCTAGGTAATCTACTTTATATCTACTCTCAGTGTTGTCATGTCACCCCTAGGTAATCTACATTATTCTACTCTCAATGTTGTCATGTCGTCTCTAGGTAATCTTCATAATGTATACTCTTAATGTTGCCATGTCGTCTCTAGGTAATCTACCTTATATCTACTCTCAGTGTTGTCGTGTCGTCTCTAGGTAATCTACATTATTCTATTCTTAATGTTGTCATGTCGTCTCTAGGTAATCCAAATTATATCTACTCTTAATGTTGTCATGTCGTCTCTAGGTTATCCACAGTATATCTACTCTCATTGTTGTCATGTCGTCTCTAGGTAATCTACATAATGTATACTCTTAATGTTGCCATGTCGTCTCTAGGTAATCTACCTTATATCTTCTCTCAGTGTTGTCATGTCGTCTCTAGGTAATCTACATTATTCTATTCTTAATGTTGTCATGTCGTCTCTAGGTAATCTACATTATTCTACCCTAATGTTGTCATGTCGTCTCTAGGTAATCTACATAATGTATACTCTTAATGTTGCCATGTCGTCTCTAGGTAATCTACATTAGTTCTACTCTCAATGTTGTCAAGTTGTAACGACGGCAATTTTCAGATTTCCGACAGATATTGTCTCAAGAAACATTGAAAGCTTAAACAAAGAGTTTAATTTTCATCAATTAAAACATGAAGTAGTAAATATAACTTTTACAAATTGTTTTTCATGCATAGAGCAACAAAAATTCCAGATGCAAAACTGCTTTGTATTTCAATTATTCAACATCTGAGTTTAATAGATGTTAATGCTCAATGCTCTGATATATAACCTTATATATAACGATATAAACATACTAAGCACTACCTGTACACGTTGATAAACGATTTTCCCTTCGAAAGTGCTCCTGAATGCAGATCCAAAATCGACGCCTGAAATAATTAATCCATAAGAAATAAAGTGCAAACATTCCTACGTCTAACAATCGACGGTGTTGTGACAAGATATATAATTAATATGTTTGCAGTAATAGTGTATAGGGTTTCGTTGATGCTGCGGAAAACTAGGCGTCTACGATGCCCTGATAACACCAGAGAACAATAAATTCAGATGAATAAGACACGATTGTTAATAATGACTGACAAATATGTGATTCAACATTATCTTTTATAAATCAAGTGTATACTTGACATTAAGATGAAACGTCTTGTGATACTCACTCCCCCGTCCCCACCACCGAGTGCCAGGCCTCGCTCAGCTACCCTGAGAAAGAAACGACAAACACACTTGTAGTTTAACAAAATCAAAGGCAATATAGCAAGAGGACAACAAACACGTTTAAAATATAAAAAATACTAGAAAATAATTAACGGAAATACGAAGAAGGAAGCGCCTATTCAAATACGTTGTACCGGGTATGTTAATGCAGAAAGCCAAAAAAGTGAATGTGTAGTTCGATGTAGCGAGCCAAACAAAGTAAAGCATAGGACAGTTAGAGGTAGCTAACATATAATAGTATAATTATCAGTCAGACTACAGGGAGGTATATAACTCTATGTATATTTACCCTCGTAGATGACTTGCTTCCGACTTAGCTACCAGTTCATCCATCACAACCCGCGCACACCGTTTCGGTTTACAGTCTACAATTACCAAAGAAATTATTTTCTTAAGTTCTAAAAATTACATCTAATTACATAGCAAAATTTAGTAAATACAAAACATTAACCCCAGTAACACAAAATAGCATTAGGGACAATAACACAAAATCATTGCTGTTTTCTGTGTACTCATTTCAGACAGTGATCCCCGGGTTATCAAAGGACATGGAAAATAAAGCTACTTCCATCCTGGAAACAGGGAGTTGTTTTGGTCAGTTATGTTGATCATGTGAACAGTGATTAACACTGACAGGTCAGTGTACCACGTGATTAACACTGACAGGTCAATGTACCACGTGATTAACACTGACAGGTCAGTGTACCACGTGATTAACACTGACAGGTCAGTGTACCACGTGATTTACACTGACAGGTCAATGTACCACGTATGTAAATATAATACATCAGTGACACACATAACAAGTACCATGAAAGGGTTCCTTGGCGTATTCCGTGGAGCAGGCCACCTCGTGTACTTTTTTCTCCGTCGTCAGTCCAACAGGCACGAATGTTTCTGTCCCTCCCTCCTGGTATGTCAACAGGTAATATAGAACAGAGAACACGGCCACGGCTGCTGATGATACGTACAGCGGCGTGAAGGACACCTCGGCTACATCTTTTTTCTCCGAGGGTTTCCTGTAAATAAAACAATTTAAACTCCCCGAGTTTCACACTTGAGCTTGAGATTCAGTTTTATATATAAGTTATGTTTTATGTAAGTTCGATATGTAATCTTTATTGCAATTTGCAAAAATGACTATGTAAACAAGTGTTAGCTGTCTTCTCTAAAGAGGATATTTTAAAAACAAAAGAATAGCCCTGATGTAACCTCACTGCATGTGTTTGGTAAAAAAAAACACTGTACATTCTGGTTTTCTTTTTTCTATGAAGAAGACATGTAATTAAGAGACCAAAATTGATCTGCTGCCCCCAATGCAACACTGGGGAGTGTTTTCGTTTCCTATCTTTCCTGTCTACTTTCGTTCTTTCCTATCCCCTTTCCCTGTCCGGGACGTATCCCGTGGTACCCGTCTTCATATGATCCAAGCTGTTACAAGGACGTTTTTACCCCAAACAAGGGTGTTCGACTGCACTTTCAGTCATAAGAGAATTTCGAATTCGTTGAAGTGGAGAAACGGAACTAAAAATATGTCAACTGTAGGGTCACCTATATGCTATATCACCTATATTGTTCAATCAAGTCTTCCGCTTACCTGCCGACATTTCCTTTGGTCAGTGGAACTTTTCTTGGTGATGAAGACTTCTCAGGCATTTTAAGGCATTTGCTGCTTCACGGTAATTTTAGGTCTACAATTAAACACCGACCAGGTCCATCAATCAAAAATACCAAACCGAACGTTATCCAATCAAGTCATAACACTCTCAGTGAACAGTCAACGATTTTTATTATCTGCACCTTGTCATCCCCACCCGGTATTTTTCAAGGCGGTGGGTAAACATAAACTTAGTTTGATATTTTTACACCTAACTATAATTTACGTATTTAGGCCTAATACTTCGAAAAATAATTGCATGTCCCTTAAACTAACATAACATTCAGGTTCCGTGCTGCATATGGACCTAATTATTGTATTTCCTGTTACAACGATAAGGTTCATTTTCGCATTGTTATTGCCAGAAGGCATTTAAATTCACTATAAATAGTACTCGTTCTCTAATGGAATTGTCGATTAATGATTGCTATGCTATTATGTTTATTTTTTATTTTATTTTTAATGTATTAGAGGTGACGCTTTATTAGTCCGAGGCTTTTCAATATATCTTGTTCATGACAAGCAAAATTGGGAAGTCCGAACTAGGCATGAGTTGAGGGGCACACGAGGATATTTTGCTGTGTAGTGATATTGTCATTATATGAAGTCGTGACTTCATTATAAGTGGTCGAAATTCATTGTATGTGATTGCTATTTCAGTAAGTGTGTCGATATTGTCATTGTATGTAATGCGTTGTGAGTATACTTCATTACAGTATAAAGCGTGTATGTGTCATTACATTTGTAAATATGCTTTGAATGTCGTAGAATGATCAAAGGTTCAACAAGCCCCCTAAAAGATCGTAGGTATAGGTACCGTAAATAACACCCTATCACAGGTCAAATTAAAAAAACAATCAACCATCGGTGTTGAAGTATATGTACTTGAAATGATACAAAGCAAGATGGATTTAGTCTGGAATTATGTATTATTACTAAATGCCTTCATAAAACAGTTAATCAACGTTATGGCATGTCAGTCTCTTGTGAAAGCAAACTGAATGATAAACGCCAATACAAAACTCGTGTAGTTAGGTCATGCAGAGCTTAATTCCTCTTTTACTAGCTGATGAGAGGTACACAATTTGTATAAGTGACATTATTATTAAGATGGATGTGGATAGTCAAAACCACACACACACACAACAATATAAAATGTCTTAATGTCGTACGTTATCAGTATATAAATATAATCTTAGACTTGGGTGACCTACATAAATAAATGAACATTAAGTCAAGTGTGACTTCATAACATACATGTTCAGTTATATAATGAGCTTGCAATGTTACATGTACATATATTATCACTGTAAACAGAAAGTACCATATAAAAAAAACACTAAACGGTACAAATTAAACGTATATTAAAGTTCAATTATCAATCAAGACTGCCTTCAGTTTCATATACTGTTAAAATACGGTACGGGGCATTTTACAATTATTTTTGTAATTCTATCTGTCTACATAATCTGCAACACTCTCTTTCGAGTATTACTGTATGTGTGTGCAGCGTGCGCGGTCTGTGTATGTGTCATTACATTTGTAAATATGCTTTGAATGTCGTAGAATGATCAAAGGTTCAACAAGTCCCCTAAAA